AGTCAGACATGAGAAATTACTCAAAAACCACAAAGATGCGCCAGGCACTCTGCAGATAGTGGGGATACAGAGCCAAAGCCCAAACAGGTCCTGCCCTCAAGGAGCTTCTATTTTGCTGGAAGCTATGCCCCAAAGCCTTGAGCTTTATGAGCTGGGGATGGGGGTGGGTGGGAAGAGGCAGATGCAGGGGTGAGAGGGTACCAGAGCTGAATGCCTGTCCAGGCTCGGCTAACTTTACAGCAGGGAGAACAATTTCTTGTACTGTTCCTAACCTGGCCCTGTAGGTAATTCCCAGAGAAAGCCTCTGACATGGTTCCAGCGATGCCAGGCTCCCTACAATAAGCCTCAGAGCTCTCAAGGGGCCAGCTCTGGAGGGGCCAGAGCTTACTTGATGTGTAAATGGCGGAGTGTTTGTTAAGCTCTCCGTCTCATTATCTTACATACACCTCAGAGATCCCCCCCCCCCCAAGTCCCCAGTGTACTTGGGCTGGGCTGGGGCTGAGCACAGCTAGGGGAGAGGGGGAGGCTGAGAAAGAGAGGAAAATCCCTGCTTGTTCCCAGCCATCAAAGGGCTCTGCAATCTCAATAGGACCCCCCAGGGTAGATAAGAATCATCTTGGTGCAAAGAGAGGTCAGAGACCAGGTGTTCGGGGTGCTGGGTCTGAGTCTCCCCTCACTGATGCCCAGAACTAGAAAGGTCCACTGAAGTCATGTAGTGCAGGTCACACTGAATGGGAAGACCCTCTGCAGCATCTCAGACAAGTGAGACGTCATGAGAGAGTGAAGAGCAATGGTTTGAAGTCAGAGGACTTGTGTTCAAATCCAGCCTCTGCTACTTAATACCTATGTGATCTTGGGCAAGTCACAACGGCCCTGGGCCTCAGTCTCCTCACCTGTAAAATAAAGGGGTTGACTAGATGACCTCTCCTGTACTTTCCAGATCTACATTTATGATCTTAGTCATGTGACTCCAAGCAAAGCCCTTCACCTGTCTGGGTGGTGATGACAGGAACTTTTCCTCCTCTAGTAAATGAAGGGGTAGACTAAAGTCCTCTAAGGTCCTTTCTGGTTCTAAATTTATGGTCTTATGACCCAGAACTTGCCCTTCTTTGAAGTGACTGGGAATGCCCTAGGAATGATCTGAATGAGAACTGGATTCTAATGGTGCCAACCAGAGTGGTACCTTAGCGAGAGCCCTGGCTTTCGAGTCAGAGGACCCGGGATCAATGAAACTCGGCTTTGCCCCAGCTACCTTAGGTTAAGTGGCATCCTCTCTCCCGAATCCTCCTCTGTAAAAGGGGGAGCTGGGCTTCTAAGATCTTGCTGGCCCTCTGACTGACTCTGAGGCCAGTAAATGGAGACATCATCCCTCCCCAGATCCTCCTCCCTCCCCCTCCCCAGTTTACCCTCCCCCCCCAACCCGTTAATTTCAGGATCAAATGAGATACTGCTTCAGAAAGTATTTGAGGGATTAGTAAATGTTTGGGGGCGACAGAGTCCATCCCCCCACCCCACCCCTCCATTCACTATTCTCACAGCCTGTTCCTCAGGTTACCTTTCCCCACAAAAGTCCTCCCTTCTCGGTGGCCCTGAGAGAGAGACCCTGGGTCCTACAGTCACCTTCAGCCGAGTGCCTCACGGGACAATGAGCCTGGACAGCTGGAAGGGACGGTGAAGCTCATTTGGAGGGAATCTGGGCTCAGATCTTCCCTCCAATCTTTCTGTATGACCTCGGTCAGGTCATCTCCCTGAGCCTCAGTTTCAGCTGTGAAGGAGGAGGTCCGAGCACATGCCTCTGAGGTCCTTTCAGCTCTACACCCAGGATCCAACTCCAATTCCCTTATTTTACAAAGGAGGACACTGAGGCCCAGAGAAGAGAAGGGGCTTGCTCAAGGTGACACGGGATGAGTAGGAGTGAGACTGAGATTGAAACTTGGACGTCCCCCCGGGGCTCGCACCGCGTACCCTCGTGCCCCTCCTTCACACAGTGGTTCCCACAGCCTGTCCCACGGGCTCCGGGCCGCGGGGAGCGGTTGTTAAGGCTGTGGGGCTCCGGGCTGGCTCTCCCGGCTCCGCCCCTGGCCCCGGGGCTCCCGGGAGCGGCTCGGGAGCCTCGGGTCGCTGCCGGCAGAGGTAGAGCCCCCAGAGCTGCGCGCTTCACCGGGACGGACGAACGTAGGCGAAGGCTAGAGCCGGGGCGCATGGCCGGGGCCGGGGCTGGGGTAGCGATCGGCGTCGGGGAGGCGGCCAGGCCGGGCGCCCCGGCACCGGGGCCTCGACGGGCCCCGGCAGGGCGGCGGAAGGAGGCGGAGCCGGGGCTCGACAGCGGCGAGGAGTCGCGGGGTGCGGGCCGCCCGGCGCGTCTACGCGGGCAGCCGCGGGCGCGGGCGGCCGGACCCGGGGGCGCCCGGGGAGGCGGCCGGGAAGAGCCGTCGGGGCCGCGGCTGGCGGAGCTGGTGGAGCGCGTTGGCGCGGCTTCCCCTGGCTCTGCGTACTCCGTGTGTTCGGTATGCGGGGAGCCCCGCGGCGGCGCCACGTACCCCGCGGGCGCGCTGGAGGTGAGCGAGCAGCGCCTGCAGGCAGGCCTGGCGGGGCTGCGCGCGGAGCTCACCGCCGGCCTCGGGGCATTGCGCGCCGAGCTAGCGGCCGAGTTGGCCGCGCTGCGCGAAGCCCTGGGCCGCCGGGCCCCGCAGCCGCAGGAGCCTCAGCAAGACGGGCCCGCCGGCCGCCGCCGGCCCCCCGCGGGACCCCGCAGGGACGCGCCCCTAGCCCCAGGCTCGGGCCCCACCCGCGGCCAGGCGCTGCTGCGGGCCATGGGCACGGTCAACGCGCTGGCTGCTTCCATGCCCCCGAAAGCAAGCCTTGAGCCCCCTGGTGTCCGC